TACAGTGTTTTGTGCTCAACATAGCCAGATGTGAATTATGCTGTTTGGGCTCTATTGTAGGCAGAAAAGGTTCATGAGCTAAATGAAGAAATAGGCAAGCTTCTGGCCAAGGCTGAGCAGCTTGGAGCTGAGGGCAACGTTGATGAGGCCCAGAAGGTTCTACAGGAAGTGGAGAAGGTCCGCACTAGGAAGAAGGATGCAGAGGTGAGGAAGGAGTGCTTGGGAAGTACTTCCAGCTTAATGCAGTGCGGTGCATTGTATTAAGTCCTAATAGAAGGGAGTCTTTTAATGCATCTGTTTTGTGTCTCTTCAGGAAGAGTATAGAAACTCGATGCCCGCCTCTAGTTTCCAGCAACAGAAACTTCGGGTTTGTGAGGTGTGCTCTGCTTACCTGGGTCTCCATGACAATGACCGTCGATTGGCCGACCATTTTGGCGGGAAGCTTCACCTAGGCTTCATCCAGATCAGAGAGAAACTGGACCAACTCAAGGTTTGTTCCAGCCTCTTTCACCATGCACAGTATAGGCCCATTACTACAAAAATCCTATTTTAATTACATCTGGGAGAGAGGCAAGGCTGCAAACGTACTGAAAGGAAAAATGGGTCAAACTGTCTTGTTTTTATTTTTCTCAGAAAACTGTGGTTGATAAACAGGAGAAAAGGAACCAGGAGCGCTTAAAGAGACGAGAAGAGAGGGAGAAAGAGGAAAAGATGAGGAAGAGGTAGGTAAAGACTTTAAAAGTTTGGTGACATTTGTGTAACTAAATTGTTGTATGTATGTGGGTTTTTTTTTTTTGTTTTTTGTTTTTTTTAACTGCTTAAATTTATGGTTTTGCCATTTGCTTGTTTTATAGGACCAGATCACGGAGCAGAGAGCATAAAAGGTAAAAAGCTTCCTCATCCATCTCTGTTTAATTTCTTTATCCTACTGCTTTAAACTAATCGAGGTTGTTCTGTTGTTTTTAATCAGGTCTCGTTCTCGCGATCGTAGGAGGAGGCGCTCGCACTCCTCATCACGAGACAGGCGCCGTTCACGGTCGCGCTCCAGGGAAAGGAGAAGGCGACATCGCAGCCGGTCCCGCTCACGCAGCCGAGGGCACCGTCACAGCCACGAGCAGAGCTCCAGACACAAGTAGATACTCAGCAACGCTGATTCACACCATGCGCCCACAGAATTTCACTTCCAAGAAAAAGCTCCAGCACATTTGCAGGCATCAGATTGAGTTGACTTATTTAAGGAAAAAAAACAAAATGTGCAGCCCTGCTTTGGTTTCTCTCTATTCAGACAGTTGAAAATCTGACTGGCATGTTGTGAGGTTGGATTCCAGTTAAGACAAATCACCATCTAGGTATGATCTGTTAAACAACCTCATAATAAACTGCCATTTCATATTTGATGATTGAACTTGGCAGTATCAAATCAAATGCTGATAACATTCATTGATCACAGCTCAGACAGTATTGTATTTATTTGTTGGCAGAATCTTGCTGTATTGAGCTGTTTGGTGCTTAGCTGCAAGAAGATCATTCAGTTTAATCCCCTTCACAACTTCATCCACTTGCAGCTGTTTACATATAATCCTATTATCTACTTTTTTCTCCTGTGTGCTTGTACATGTATTTGTGCTGTTTGAATCCTTGAACTGAATTTCTGCCACGGTCTTCACACCCAGATCATCCAGGGACCGTGAGCGCTCGTCCAGAGACAGGTCACGAGAGCGAGACAGGAGGGATGGTGTGAATGGTAGGTCAGACTCCCGCCGGGCAGACGACAGGGACATGGGGGACCTCTGAAGACCAAACTCCATCCACCACTGACACAATCTCCTGTTTCTCTCACCTGTCTGTCCATTTATAATAACCTAATGTTAACACAGTCCTTGCCTTGATCCCTTTGTTCTCTCGCCTGCCTCCTTTCTTTGCTTTAACAGGTAATGCAGCCGACCCAGAGTGTACACATACCCCAGATATTGTATGGAGTAAATTTTCTAGCATCTGGATATATCAGATTGTATTTGGATGGGGGAGTTAGTTATCGATCAGTAGTGGAATGTATTGTAATACCCATATTTGTAATTTGGTGGCTGTCTGTATTTGACATATCCCATGTTTTGTTATAAACGACCCTTCAGTAATCCTAACAGAGAAAGCAAACAAACCGATGGTCAGAATGGAACTGATTTGAGTTCTTTTATTATTACCTGTTGGTCTTTTGATACAGAACCTGATTGTAAATATGTTTTGGACCCACTGTCATGGTCTGAAAGCCACATCCTATTAAGTTTTATTTCCTCCCTCTGCCAGGGTGCAGTCCTTTAATGTCTGTCCACATTTGTCTCCAGTAAATAATTAGTCTCAAGTACCTAATTTGCAGGAGCCTAGTCAGAGCTTTTAGGAGCTCCGTTCAGAAGGTTTTAAAGTTGCTAGCTGTAGTATCAAACCTCATGTGCCCCAGTTTTAACAAATCAGCTTTTATTTTATGCTGCCAATAGTGAAGGGAATCTGTTCACTTGACTTTGGCCAGTGTAAGTAAATGCTTGTCTAGACTTGTATTGGTGGCCAGTTTGTTTGGTTCTGTACTGATTTCTTTTATTTAAAATAATGAAAATAAATGGTAACTTCAGTCACTATGGACATGTGAAGCAGTAGGTTCAGACATGATACACTGGACATTCAATACTAAAACTAGACACCCTGTATGGGTGATAAATTGACATTTTGCCCCAGTTTGGATGTTCTTTTGTGAATAGATTTATAATGCAAACTGATTAGAACGGATACATTACTCTTCCTCTTGTGTGAAGTCATCTGTTTATGTTTTGCCGTAAATCTTATGTTAAAGTCTCATTAAAAACATCCCACTATTTTAAATTTTATGTGCTGGCCTTTCTTGTGAAGTTGTAGTCATTGTCGAGGCATTCTAATCATGGTTGAATTAAATGGATCGGCCATGGCACTATGACCAGTGACCGGTCAAGTGAATAACACTGATTATTTTGTTACAGTGGCACCTGTCAGTTTGTGGTGCATCTTAGGCAGCAAATGAACATCCAGTTATTGAAGCTGATGTGTTGGAAGCAGGAAAAACAGGCAGGTGGAAGGATCCGAGTGACCGTGACAAGGACCAAACTGTGATGGCTGAAGACTGGGTCAGAGCATCTCCCAGACTGCAGGTTGGGTGTTCCTGGTCTGCAGTGGTTAGTACCTACCAACAGTGTCTAAGGAAGGACAAACTGAACCAGCGCCAGGGTCATGGACGCCCACGGCTCACTGATGATGAGGTCGACCTACTTGTAGATTAAACGTTTACTTCATTCATCCTTTTCAAAAGATTCCAGTTTGTTTGGATCTTTGTGAAAATGGTTAAAGATGAGAAACACTGTACATTGGTCTCTATGAAGAGAAACATTCAGCGGCTATAGTGGTGATATCACACCTAAAGTGGGACGGCTGCTGAATTTGTCTAGAAAATTGCTTAACATTGACCGGTCGACATGTCTGTGCTTTTCCTGACTGTAGAACTATGGACGCTGATGGATTCCCAGAAGATGCAGAGTAACATAAGTGTCAACCAGCTGCCGCACCGACCCGTGTGTGCAGTGTTAGGCAGTCGGTCATAATGTTATGGCTGATCGGTGCCATTTTACAAAGAACAGCACATTTCATTTATTTCTGCACAATAGATGACTGAAACAGGGAAGAAAACCTTTAGCCTTAAAAGATGACAAACTGTGTGCTTTAATGTTAATCTTCAACTTGCACAGCACCTGCTTAAACGAAAAGCTTTAATTTGTGACATACTTTGGTTTGAAGATGAGGTAATGATGTCAAAATGAACACGATGGCATACTGCTCTTCATAGATGAAACGTTTTAACAGTCAAGTCACTGTCACATTTGTTCTCCAGTAAACAATTCAAGAGTTCACTCAATGTGACAGCTGTACCAGAAAAGCACAATCCTCCATCTGACCGCTGCTGCTCACAATGTGCTGCTCTCCATTTTCAGATCGACCTTCATTTTCTGTTTCTCCATGACCGCCTCTAGCTCTGTGGCCCTCCTGGCATCCTGTAGACAGAAAGATGCAAATTAAGACAAATGAAGCTGAAGGGGTTAGTGTTTTTATGAACAAGCACTCTGTGTGGAAATTAGGTGAAAACTGAGACTTAATGACCCCTGGGCAACAGAAATCATTAGATATTAATGTGCAGGCACCAGTGTGAATAAAGACTTTATGACAGCTGTGTAGCCTGACATGCAGGTTTAAAATTACAGCTAATTCACTAAATATATAACAGGATAAACTCGCATAAAACCATAAGATGGCCCATCAGTTATCAAGATTTAATTTAATATTGAATTATTAGCCATGGGTTTAGTAAATATTCAGCTGTTCCATATTTCTGACATTTGTTAAATCGGTGGTGGAAGAAGTACTCAGATTGTTTAAGTAAAAGCATCAACATCACTGTGTAAAAATACACATTTATTACTATTCTGAAATGAGCTGTAATGGCTTCATGGGTTTGGTGACTGAAACTTGCTCTGGCCCTCACTGTGTAGTTCTGCATTTTATTCACAGGAATCTGAATGAGATGAAAAAGAAAAGCAGCTACTAAGCATCAGTGTTGATGGCTGGAACACAGTTTTGTCTTTGCCTGCTCTCAAAACGTTTCTCTGCACTTGTTCTGGTCGGTGTGTTTAAATTCTGACTTTCTCACTGGCTGGTCAGATTGGTTGTGTGCTTTTACCCTGTCACTGATATACTTCCATAACAGCTTGAAAGTGAATGCAGTTGCCCTTGAATTTACCTCCAGCAGTGCTTTCTGCACAGAGAGCTGGCTGTACACTCTGGCGCCTTCATCAGGAATCACAGCTCGCAGCTCCTCCTTGTTGAGGGAGAAGAGCTGGGCCCCTGTCAGCACTCCCAAACATGACACCGTCCTGAGGGACACAAAACACCGATGAGTCTCCTCTAGCTGCTACTATACTGACCTTCCATCCATGTAAACTCTGCAGGTTGGTAACAAAGACTCGACCAGGAAATGTGCATTGATTACATTAAGAGGTTCATACTGATGGTCATTTATCCTGACCTCCTTATAAATAAAAGTACAGTGTATTACTCTGGTCTGTAGTCACTCACGGTTTACTGAAGCCTTTCCCTCTGAGCCACTTAGCCACTTCCTCTGGAGGAGAGTGATCGTCCAGAGAGACAGATGTGTCTGAAGAACGAGGTATGTTAAGAGGTTTGTTCCGACTGGCCTTTCCATTGGTCAGCCTCTGGAGCAGCTCGTCATTCACCAACATCACTGAAAAGACAGAAGATGATAGAAATAGGGTGACTTTTCAGCCTTTCATGCTGAAACGATAACTACATGACTCAAAGACAACCTGCACAACCTAAATAATCATTCCACTGCTGTCATAGAAATATTATTTGTGTACTTGTCATCAGTTTTTGTTAATGTGACTTATTATGTAACTCATTTGAAATCACATCCCTTTCAGAGCAGAATATTCTAAATAGGCTGACACTGCAGGGAGCACCTAGTTTCCTATATTCAAGCCTAATGCCACACACCCATGCCTCCTACACAAAACCCCTAAAGTTTGGCACCTTTATCTGTGTCCTCTGCAGCTGGTGTATGTTGGCTGTACGCCGGTAAGTTCATTGGGCGATTTACAGAATGGGTAGTGGCCTGGGGCAGAGCAGGAGGGTTGGGTGGGACTGCAGAGAACGTCTTTGCGAAGGGAGGTGGGGTGGGAGCCTGCAGGAATGTGAAGGTGAGAGAATATAAAACACTGGAATTCACTCAGGTATGAACACATAGTGTACATGCATGTCTGGGTGTGTTTGTGTCTTACACTGGGGTGGTTGTTGGCGACGGGGCTTTCTACATGAGCCATGGGTTCCAGGATGTTGAAGGGGACAAATCCAACCTGGTTGAACCGATTACGACACTTCCACCAGCGCTTGGATGATTCAATCACCTGTCAGACAGAGGGGCCAAGACAGTGTGCATCAACGGCTGCATGTTTTCGACAGAACTTCATCTAAAATCATCACTTATTCACATGTCAAACCCAGTGTTCCGTACACTTGTCTACAGTGCATTCATATTTTAGCAATGATAAAACAAACATAAAATTCTTTTGCAACCTCTAGAATAAAAAAAATAATAAAAAAAATCGCCAACCAATGAATGCAAAAGCTTCATGATGGGTTCCTGAATGCACCACGAACATGTTTTACTGTGTGGTTGTACACAGATGATCTGACTTTATTACCTCGAGCGTCTCCCCCTGCTGCACTGAGAGCTCGCTGCTGTTTCTGGCTATGAAGTTATAACTGCAGGTATAGAGTCTGTCGAGCTCTGGTGAGGGCGTGCTGCCGTCTCTGAGAGGAGAGGAGACACATGCTGTTTATCAAGCAGTCAGGGTCGGTAAGTGAAGGCGGCTGATTTGATTCTTAAAAATGACCTACGTTTCATCACTGATGCGGCTGTCTGCACGGGGACCTGGCTGCTGTGGGTGACAACAAAATGGACTTATATGAATATACAGTTTTCACCAGGCTGCATTAAACTAATTTGAGAGTTCCCATTTTCCCCAAACTAAATGTATGGGAAAGTTTTGTATGACAGATTTTAAACCCCTATATACTGAGAGCACTTTTATCAGAGAGCTACAAAGGGAACTGAGGCAATTCCAAAGCAAAGTATTTAAGTAAAACCAACAATACCACGATATAAAAATACTTTGTTCCAAATTAAAGTCCTGCATTCAAAATGCTACTTAAGTAGAAGTACAAAAGTGTTGGCATCAAAATATTCTTGAAGTATCAAACAAAGAAATACTCAGTATGCATAATATGCAGAACAGCACATTTGATATTACATTACTGTGTACATCACATTTCATGCTGCACCTGGTAAACATGGAGCTAATTCTAACTACCTTATATGCTTATGATTTGAAGTACTGCTGGGTATTTTGAGAATTTCCCACCGGGGTTAATGAAGTCAAATGATTATATTGTATTTTGCATTTTAATCTGATTCTTAACAGCAATTAGTAACTAATGTTATCAAATAAATAGAGTGGAGTAAGAAATGCAATGTTTGCTTCTAAAACGTAGTGAAGTCAAAGTAAGAAGTGGCAGAAAGTGAAAATACTCAAGTAAAGTACAAATACCACAAAACTGTACTTAGTTACTTTGTACCACCGAATGTACTTGATATTTATGCATGTCAACATAATGTTGAACTCCTTGGTTTTTATGTTTAAACACTTATTTTGAGTGACCCTTACTTTTGACACACAATAGAGTGAGTGTCACAACCAACATCATACCTCATGTTTTCCTTGGAGGGCTTCATGTTTGTGCTGTGACTCGACTGGATCCTCCCAAACCCGTCCGTCTGCTCTCAAAGCTTCCGGCTTCCAACCATCCAAGAACACAGGGGTGTACGGAGCTACAGGCCCTCTGAGCTGAGAACTGAGACAGCACACTGGGTCATTTCTGTGTCCATGAAATCCCCTCTAAGTCTGTAGTTGGTGTGGCCATCTTAATTATATTGTTGGCTGGGTGGGACTATTTATTACACTTAAATTCACAATTAGAACTTTAAGGTATTGAGCAGCTCCTTAAAAGCAACATGCAGCTGTAGTCGGTGGAGAATCTCCATGGTATAAGAGGGAAATAAACAGATAATATTTGATACACCTGCCATTTGATCCAGTAGAACAGGACAAAAAAGCTTAGTTAAACTAAGAAATGGGCAACTTTTTTCAACCTGAAGCATAATAAATGATCTCAACAGAAGCCAGGCAAAATAAAGTGAGACAGCAGTAACACTCTTGACAAAAAATGTTTTATTTTTCTGTTTAAAAAAATGACTGCTGTTTAATTGTGTGATTGGTACTGACCGAGGGAGCGTCCAGTTGGGACCGAGCGATGTCCACAGCCGCCTCTCCTCTTCATTCAAGTTATTTTGTAGCAAAGAAACAGCAGAACTGGTCAGGGCAGGGCTGGACACTGAGGCTCCGAGAGCCGGTCCCCCTGTCGTGTTCACCATCTCAACACACCCAGATAAGATAACGCAGATGTTACTGAAACAGGTCTTACACTCAGAGTCTAACAGTCACTGCTGCATTAGACAAAGTGAAGTTTACAATACTCCTGCTAATTGCGAGTGTGTTCATTAATATCTGGCATTAGTTGATGAGTTAGATTGCTAACAATCAAAGCACAGTCACACAAAAACCATAATGACTGCATCAACACACAACCCATGCAAACACACAAGAAGGAATAACACACACAGTTTCAGAGAAACTGTGTTTCCATTCAGGAGTGCCAGTATACACAAATCATGCACACCCATTCCACCCTTTCATTCTCTTTGGACTGATTCATACCTGAATGGAAACATTAAGGCAAGGGTCATTAACCAGGACTCCGGTTAAAATCTAGTAAAAGTGGTTTAGAAGTATGCACCGAATACAAATACTGCCACACAAACCAGATCAAACAAATGCTTGCTTTGGAGTTTCACTCACACAGGGAGCTGCCTTGTGTAAACACTGAATAGAATACTTTCCATTATTTTGGCATGACACATGCTTCAAATTCTTTTATGCACATGTCCAGTACCAAGGTCAGGGACACAGGCTATTTAAATCATGGTTTTGAACCACTGCCTCCAGGAAAATCCTCTAAATAACATCTATTAATTACACCTTCTTCACCTTCATCCTCTGTTTATCTGTGTCCATATGGTAAATGGTGAGTCATGTGTCATATGGACACAAGATTTATTTTAAAACATCCATCATGTCCTGCCCCAGCTTCTTTTTTTTGTGTGTTGCTATAAAAGTCAAGGCCTTGTGTTTCCAGCAATAGCAACAAGCCTGACTGGTGGAGAGAGGTTAACACTCACTCACCATATACAGAGGTCTGAACAAATGGTGAACCAGCTCCTGTGATGAAGGATTGGAGATGGTTGATTTCAGACGGCCCTGTAAAGAAATAGAGGAATTTAATATAATACAGTAAGATCACCCCAAAATGAAACATGGCCTGAGTGAATACACACCAGCAGACTGAAGCTGTATTTGAATTTTTGGAAGATATCAATGAATTCCTCCTCTGGCGGGGGGCGGGCCTTCTCAGCAAGTAACACTTCTGTTGTTAGACATGGTGAAACACAAAGTACAACATATTTATCATTGTGTTGTATCAAACAAAATATTACTGTGAATATCAGCTGCCAAGAAATAATCCAAGCATTTCTTTTTACCTTCAGCTTTTTGTTTTTTACTTTTTTTTTTACTTTTCTTATTCTTCTGGTTCAGCAACATCGTAGCGTCTGCCGCCCGCTGCAGCTTGGCCATAAACTTCTCAATATCATCAAAACAGTGATTGAGAATCCCCTGAAGAACGGAGAACCTGTTTGTTAACACTGTTCAGATATGAAGCACAGCCAGAGGAGACTGAAGAGACAACGGCTGATGAGGAGGATGCTCATACCACTTCTCTCTCTGCTTGCAGATAAGACAGATCAGGCCTGCCATTCACAGCGTTTGTTGTTGCTGGAGAAGAGAGGAGAGGATCCAGTTCATCCTTTTTCATTCACAGTCATGGTCTTTGCTGCATTTGAAATGCCTGCCCCCCTTTTAGCCCTGAAACTCACCCCCCCACCCCTTACAAACACACAAAGAAATCTTTATGCTCCTGAGCATTTGACCTTAATTACATCCACATGTATCACTTTCCTTCTTCTTACCTTCTCATCAAATTAAATCCCTCCTAATTCTTTTAGAGCAAAAACATTGAAAATAAACACATGTGAAAATAAAGTCTTCTCTCTTACCTCTGAGTCCAGGGTAAGGTGGAAGGTGGGCTGATGGGGGATTTGGAGTGTGTGCCATGGGGGAACCTGGGATGTCATAGGAGTCGAACATCTCTCCCCTGCTCGAAGGAAGCCTGAAGCACAAGAGGAGAGTTTCAGTCCTGCTGCTGTCTCACAGCATTGCATCCTTTATGGTGATGGCACCACTACAGAAAACATCCTTCAGTGATTACTTAAAGAACACACATTCATAAACACACATTTTGACTGTCAGACAGGCTCGTCCTCATTCTGAGCCTTGGCTCGATGCAGCCTTAGAAACTAATTACAGCAGGAGTTGACCAGAGAATCCAGCCAAGCGACAGACTCCTCTATCGACACACATAAGGTTGTGACTCCGAAATTCAATCCAGCAGCCCTTATTCCACAATGAAAGTACTGTAAACAATCTGACTATGCTTACTCATGGTTATTCCATATACCACACACAGCACCGGGTCTTCAGTCTAAATCCTCTTGTAAACAAAGCAGCACCAAACCTGAGTTAAATGGACAAAACTTTTGTATGTTTCCCTACTTTGGCATACGGAATATGTGAATACCTCAAACTTACCACATGTATCTATCCTTCACGTCATTTAAAGAGAAAGATTTCAAAACAAGTATTCCATTAAGGCCCTGGGCTGGCACTCTGCCACCATCATTCCTCCTCTGCCTTCTCTGCTTTGTGTCACAATGGTCTTGTTATCGTTGTCACGCCTTCACAGGCTATGTAGAAACTGGCAAAACAAGTCTCTCTCAGCTGTTTACACTGCCCTTTCTATCTGGTTCCCTCTCAGACAGGTGGATGGTGACATCAGGCTGCTTTGATTAAGTGGCAAATGAGATGGAATGCGAGTAGAAGAGAAAGAGTGCAGGCATTTTAATAGGAGATGGGTCTGAATTATAATCTGTTCTTTGTGTGTCTTTCGTTTTGTTTAATGTGATCAGCCTCATTCTATGTAATATGTATGAAAGTATACACAGCAATACACTATACAAACAGAAAGATGATATCTTCCATTAAAAACATAAGACATGGAAAATGGGAACTTGAAAGCTTGAGCTGGTCATAAGGAATTCCATTAGAACCATATGGATGTTTTCTCCCAGATTTTTTTGGAGTGTGTGATCATGACATTCAGTACCTCAGGGCATCGGAGAGCTTCTTACTTCTACTGTTGGAGGGACTTGAAACTGCTCGTGTGATGTCCGCACAGATTTGTTCTGCCTGTGAGAATGAGAACCTAAAAGTGGCGTCACTTGTAAAACCTGAACCGAGCTGATGATTCAAACTGTTGCACTGCGTCAGGCAGCACGGCCCGGGATGCTGCTCGGGTGTTCTTACTCACCCTCACGGTCTCACAGTTGAAGAAGTGGATGTCTGGCTTCTTCTCATCTGCACCTTGGCAGACTAACATCAGGAGGGATGGGAAGTGTTTTTCTGAGTTAATGGGTTCACAGCGGTAGATGGAGTTGAGAGAGCAGCTCTCCAGCTCATCCTGTAGGACAAGATAAAACTTGAAGGTATATGCAAATATGAAAGGAATCTCTTAATTGACATACAAATTTTTTGTTTCATCTCTGACTCACAACCTACAGGACTGCCAACTCTCACCTGGGTCTGTATGTCTCGGAGCTGAATGGCCTCTGCTCCGACATCCAGGTACATCTGCTGGCTCCACAGCTTTTTGTTCTGAGCCAGGAAGGAGAGACGTGACTGGGCTTCCTCCACACTCTGCACATCCCCATTCTGGAGTGAGAATGTCAGCAGGTGCTGCAAACAGGGAGCAAGAGGTGATGGTGATGAAGAATGCATGACGAAAACAGGTCATGTTAAGGTGCGCGTGTAGCAGATAAGACTCACGGTAACAAGATATCGTGAGATGTTTGTCATCCTTTGTCCACTGAATCAGCTGCTGTGGTGTGAATGTTGGAGAAGCTTTCTATGAATAGACAGAGGGGATCAGAAAACGTTTCAGGTGCAGCTACTGGTGTTGCTGTTTTAAGACAATCAACAGTTTAATCTTAAACAGTGTTTCTTTATGCTAATACGTCTCGGCCACATCCTGTTTCAGGCTACCTATCTCAGTAACCAACTCAGGGAGCGAGCCACCAGACCAGTCTGACAACAGCACGCAGTCTCTCTGCTCCTCACTGACCATCGATACTGGAATCACTGGTATTAAGAAGGCTGACATCCAGTATCGCTTGCTTAAGGCTGGTTTCATCAGAAATATGTGGCCAAAGTTCATTTTCATCTGATCTGTTCATTCAGTCATTGTGATCTGATGAAGCTGAGGGTGTATTCAGAGATTATATTTGTATTTCAAAATCAGTTTGAGACATGGCAGCAGCAATTTATCTACATTAAGTGAAAAGTGAAAACACCACTTTAAAGTACTGACTAAATTCCAACATCAGCAATACTACAACAATTAATGTCCCTGTATAAAAAATGTGAGAAATCAACCCATTACAAAACACAACCGATCACCCATGCTGATTATTATGATTTAGTTTAGTGTTTTCATTCCAAGAAGTCTATATAAGCCTTTTGCAATTCCATCAAACAGGCTAAAAATATTTCATTTGGAGTGTCTAGATATTTCACCAGTGGTTTGGCAAATCACCACACATACTGGAAATCGGTATATGGCATAAAAAGTATTTAGCAACATGACAACGGGTCACATCTTTCAGTAGTTTTTAACACTATCCAAATTCGAAAAAAGTCCAAAATTAAGTAGCCTTGAGTGTTACAAGTTCCAACAACCGCAGAGATGATTGGAAACCAACTTACCACAGGTGACGGGCCTCCAATACTTTATTCCTACCAGCTAGGTGTGCGTTTCTACTGACAGTGCCGCCTGCCAGGTGTAACTGTCGGTGCCTCACACTCCTCACTGTGGTATTGAAAGCTTCTACAGAGCAGGGGTGTGTCACCTTGTGCTGTCCTGCCCAGTCAACCACCCCACCTCGGTGCACTCCGCACATATTTCACAATGGAAACACCGTGCAAGGTGGCGCATTTTAGCACACTAATAGACGTCATATATCTAAATGTTCATTCCAAAAGATTTAGGAATGTTATTTGAAGCCGTGTGGAAAAGCTTTGGACGAAATTGGTACCGTCTCCTTGTGTCTGCACTCACAGCAAGTTACTAATAGTAACTTTATAATACAATGGAAATAAACTAAACATCCATTTAATACACACCGATGTCTAGGGGGTCGGGGCTGGTCGTCCACATCTGGAGGTGTACAAGTGGAAAACTGTGGTGTCACATTTCATAACAATCCTTGAGGAGGTGAGCACTTCTCCGTTTTCTCCACCAATAGAGGAGTAGGTGGAGCCAGGTGAAGTGGCAGCAAGCGTTTTGCTTTGGGGACCCTTGTGTTACTTTTTCGAGAATCTCTGTTTTGGTACCACAAGGTATTTCTCATTTATTTGTGCCGTTATTTCCAAGATTATACTGTAGTTGGCAGCGACAGCAGACTTCTGTTGTGTTTTGTTGTCTTTGCTTCCAAAACAGGTCTACGTGGCAGACAGTGAGTGTGCGTGTGTGGTCAGTCTGCTCTTAGTGTGACTTTTAAAGAGAAGCCTGTGGGATTGCAAACTTTCATCAAAGTAGTTTAGCCCACAGAATCTGAATAATAATGCTCTTATTTTTTTTTAAGGATACGAAATTATTCCAGATAGCTGCGAATAACACGTTTGATAATGCGCTTAGACTGTTGTAACAGTTTAGGTTTATTTAGTTTTCACATTTTAGCTTAACTAAAAAAGGAGAACACGTTTCATAGTCATAAACTTTCATGACATATGTAACGTCAGCTAATAAAATGTAAATATTTGCCACGTATCATGTCTTGCCATCAGAGATGTGGACCTAAGTAGATGGACATTTCAAATGTCCTTCGTTAACTTCGACAACCTTACCAATGGAAGTAGCCTGCTAAGTTACAGACGACCACTGATATTACAATACATGGATACTAGTGAGGAGCCACTTGCATTTTTAAATTGCGTGTTTTAGGCTACTAATATATCGTATGCGAATGGTGCGTTCGCCGCTATTCGTCCCTGTGTTAGGACTAAATCGTGCGGACCATTTAAATGGCGCTTTATGCTGCAAATAGCTGTGGATTTGTGACATAATTTAAGGTGTAAAAAGCACCTGAAACCCTTTCATATATTTACAGCAGTGGTGGGAAGTAGGGTACATTTACTTTCCTGTCCGTAGCTATAGCCTGGCAAAGGCGGCCTGGTTTCCTTGAGTATTTCTATATTTAGCTATTTTAAATAGGAAACATTCTACTTTTACTAACTCCACGTCATTTGAGAGCTGTAGTTACAAGTAACTTCGAATAGGAAGGGCATCCGGCGTGAAACACATGCCAATGTATACATGCGAACGGTTGATTCGCTGTGGCGACCCCTAGCGGGAACAGCCGGAAGTAGTAGTAGTAGTAGTTACACGTTACTTGGAATAGGCTATCAACGTTTTTGTGAATTCCTACAGTAAGATGAGCTCACATAACTACCCAGGAGTATAAATATCTGGACAGCTAGAATGACAAAAGCATGTTTAAGACTTTGTTTCAGAAACTCTGAGGGATAATTTAATGCCATTTTGTCGATGATTGTATTGTATTGCTCCGGCTTCCTCCCACAGTCCAAAGACATGCAGCTTAGGTTGATTGGTGTCTCTAAATTGCCCGTAGGAGTGCTTGGGTGGTTAGCCTCATTCTTGAGGCTGAGGAAAGAAAACAGGAAGAGAATGCCCTGATATTTTTGATAGAGAAGGAGAAGAAAGAGGAGAAGAGATCAAAATCTATTTTTTTTTCAAAGTGAACCTTATTAAACAAACTCAATACATTCCCCTTTTTTATTGTATTATATGTAAATCTGCTGCTGACTGTTTTTTTTTTTTACCATCATATCTGCTCCTGGTGCTCCTTTGCACTACTGTCCATATACATCTCATGCTAACATGCACTTTATCACCAACGCCCTGGTAATGCTAATCTGGTGATGACAATCTTTGTTATTGTTTGCACTACTGTCATTAACTGTACACGGTTTTTTGAGTCATAGCCTATTGGTTGTACCGTTTTTATCCTAATTACTTTAATCCAGTTTCTTATTTGATTTTATTTTTTACTCTATTTTCATTCTAGTTAAGTTCCTAAATGGCGTGGCACTCAATACTAGGTGAGAGAGAAACGGTATTTCGATTTTCTGTATGTCCTGCACATATAGTGAATTGTCAATAAAAATCTTTGAACCTTTGAATTACCTTACTTATGAGATAACTATGACATTGCTACTGGCTGTAGCGGTCTCTGTTGTGTTTTACGTATTGTTCTTGAACGCACCCCGTAGGTGTGGTAAATGCACGTGTCAACGTTGCATCAGATTGACGAAGCGCGAGCGCACAGTAACGCGCGCTGAGTACTTTAAATATTTCCACACAGTGTTTAAGGTCTATGCATAACTTTATATATGTATTTACTATACGGGTTCGCATCGGCACCATTGGACGCAGTGAAGTACGTTTAATATGAGAAGCAAACAAAGTGGCGTCGTTGATCGTATAGTGAACGTTCACACCACCACCGCACGTGTTCGCGTCCTGTGAACGGACGGAGGAAGAGAAATTGTCGACATTGTCCGTTTCCTGCCATCTCCGGGCTTTTTGAACCTCTTCGTTATCATATTTGGTGTTTTTAAAAGGTAAGACGTTTCTCCCCTGAGCGTCCGTTTGCCAGTCCAAAGACAGATGCCACGTTGCGCGGTTGTTTCACTTCAGAGACCGCGCAAAGCGGTTACAACCGATTTTAGTGCTTAAAAGTAACATTTTTCAGCCATGTGACAGATTATCAGTCACACCTAAAGCCAATGTAGTTTTATACATCAGTCCTACCTTCACTGATAGATAAAGTGGACAAAACATAAATACCTTTTATTTTAACCTAATTCCAACCACATCTAGACAGCTCTAAAATAAAACGATGACAGGCAGCTGATGCTGGCCAAACGCTAGGTAGTGTAGTGTGGTGTGGGTCACCCACCTGCTCTTATCTGGGTACAAAACCTATTTATAGACGTGTGGGGAGGTTGTCTGGCTTTACAAATGGAATTCATCCTAAAATAAGTTGTTTGGATGACATTTATATTGAGAAAACATTGGAGTTCCAACTTGAGTTTACGCCCTTTCTGTTGATTTGTCTTGTAATTTTAGGATACTTGTTTTTTATCATGGAACATTTTTTTTATTGCAGGGTTTAATCAATTTTAGCTAGGTGTAACAAATATATTGTATACACATGCACTCGCGTTGTGTTTTAGGGGACATTGCGCTGACTTAAATTCATTTTCTGGAGACTTACCATAACCTCACCCTAACCTTAAACCAAGTCATCGCTGTAAAATGTAATGATTTACATTAAGGACGCCAAGTTCCCACGGTGTGACTGTGTAAACAGAGTTGCATCTCCACAACAGGTGTGATACCAGACCCCCCACACACAGAGCACACCACCACCACCACCAGAATAAATTGGTGAAACAGGATCATTGCTAGCTGGAGTCAGAGTAATATGTATATTTGTACCTCACCACGATTTTGAGGCATCTTTCAGAGTGTGAAGGCTTTTTGATGAACTTTTGCTGAGCACGCCTGACTTGTACCTTGAGCTCAGTTTTTCTAAATGGTTGTTAAACTGCGTAGAGGACCTAATAAATCAAGGATGTGTAGGATGGCTTTGTAGTTTGATCTTCTGGCTTCAGCAGAGCAGTGATTATGTGCTGCTTTAAGTTATGACCAGTTTGTTCTTTTTCTTCTTTTGCCTCTTCCTGTCTTAGATGGAGAAACAGCCTCTGCCAGCTGACAATGACAGGTCCACTGAGTTCGATGTCGATGGCTATGCTGGCGAAGAGATCCAGCAGGCTGCTTCTGAGCCTGCAGCTCGAGCAGGATGGAACAGTAAAATAGAGTATTTTTTGGCTCAGGTGGGATTCAGCGTCGGGCTTGGCAATGTCTGGAGGTTTCCATATTTGTGCCATAAAAATGGTGGAGGTGGGTACCTATAATTGTCATCTATGTTAGATTAACTACCAACCGTATGCCTCCATATCTGAGCAACAGACCGTTGAAATATATCATCTGTGAGGTATAAACTATCTGTAGACCACTAACCACTGCTGCTCTGAAGTCTGGTGGTGTAGCATCTGGTTTTTATCTGCCAGGCAAAATGTCTTCAGCTTTCTGGAAAATAGAGACTCAATCCGTAACATTATTTTCCATCTCTGGTTCAAATAGCCACAAGCTGAAGTTTTCTTTTTTATAAAGCTTGCTGTCAGTTTGTCTTCTAAAGATGGCTTGTCTTCTAAAGGTGGCTTATGAAACAGTAACATTACTGCATTAGACTTAAATCTAAAAAAACAATCCCAAAGAGATACATGTCTTATTTACCCTGATGGATGGTTTCAGAAGAACAAACTGTAGTAGGTGGCATTAAACAGAGTGGGTTTCTGTTAATGTTGGGGAAGAAAGACCAGCACATGTATCTGCTTCTCCTTTCTATCAGTCTTGTTCAGTGTCTCAACTCCTTGCTAACTGAGTGCTGGTCACCTTTTCTCCTCAGGAGCCTTTCTTCTCCTGTATGTGCTGCTGATGCTGCTTGTGGGCATTCCCTTGTTCTTCCTGGAGCTGGCAGCCGGTCAGGCCATTCGACAGGGCAGTATCGGAGTGTGGAAGTACATCTCCCCAAGGCTCGTAGGGATCGGCTACTCCAGCTGTGTGGTAAGATAACAATTGTTAAAGGGTTGAGCCACCTGTTAGATTATTCATTGTGTGATGCTGCATGCACTCCAGGTGGCAGTTTGTATTGTGTTCTCTATTATGTCTTGAATAGCAGTTTGTTGCTGCAGCTGTAGAAAGAAGCACCTGCTCTATATACATATGATAAATGTATTCTCACACTAACAAAAGGAATATTTTCTTAGGAATCTGACAGTCTTGTTCACAAATGTCCTCAGGTGTGTTTCTTTGTGGCTCTCTACTACAACGTGATTCTTGCATGGAGTCTTTTCTATCTTGGAAACTCCTTCCAGTACCCTTTACCTTGGGAACAGTGTCCAGAACAGGGTAATGTAACAGGTAAGCACTCAACATAAAGATTGAGCAGCTATGGAATTATAAAGGCATTAGCTGTGTTTCACATGTAAGAGGTCAAGGTCAAAGTGTTTATTTGTCATATGCACAGTTAGGAAACGTGTTTCCCTGTACAATGAAATTCTTACTTTGCCGTCCACGAGTGCCACATAATACAAGCAAAATCACAAATCTAAGGCACTTTAAATCAGCAAGTGAAGGGAGCAAATAAAATACAACAAGAACACAATATAATGCAGAGAGAATATATGCTACATGGGAGCCGTGGAGTGTAAATACTCAGCAGTGAGTGTGCAATTATGCTTGTAGGTAAACAGTACAGATGGAATTACATGAGGTAGATCCTGAGTCAGCTATTTAGGAGTCTGATGGCAGATGGAAAGAAAGAGTTTTTCAGTCTAGAAGTCCTGCATTTCACACCTGTGAGCCTCCGACCGGAGGGCAGGGGTATGAACAATCCGTGCTGGGGGTAGGTGGGGTCCTTGTGATGGAGGCAGCTATCCTATGTACGGTAAATGCTCTGCAGAGAGGGCAGTGGAGTCCTGGTGATTCTGAGAAGCAATTGATCTCTATTTGTTTCTTTTAACACCAGTGAAAGAATGTGAAAAGAGCTCCTCCACATCATATTTCTGGTACCGCAAAGCTTTGGATATCACAGACTCAATAGATGAAATGGGCTCTTTCAACCCTTATATCGTCTGCTGTCTGCTGGCGGCCTGGACCATCGTGTGCCTGGGAATGTTCAAGGGAATAAAGACCTCTGTAAAGGTAACTGCATCAGGTGTTTATAGCACTTCACTGTTAGCAGCTCAGGTGTTTCAGCAGAGTTGTGATAATCATGAGCTTTAAACACTGCACCTGATGACCCAAGCATCCAGTCATTTGATTACTTTAAAAGGCTGTTTGACAAAAGTCTGTTTATCTGTGTTAAGATATGCATACAACAGGTAGATTGTTCATATTTGCAAGACAAACTTGTGTGTGTCTTTTGAAAAGGGACTGGGAAAGGTTAGTGTGATATTTCCAAGAGAAATGTGTAATTGTTTTAGGTAGTCAACAAAATATTAGTTGTGTTAAATTTCCAACTGCACCTTGACCATTAAACACCGACTTGTTGGCAGTGTTCAGTCAAATCCCAGTCATATGCTGGTTTTAGGCTTCTGGGTTACTCTGGGTGGTGGCATCTCTGGAATGTGTGCCTTAGGTGTTAACCTGCTTCAAATGGCAAAATCCACGTCATGTGTTGAAGTATTATGGGACTTTTGTAAATTAGCTGTGTTGGTTGTTTTTCCTAGCACATATCAGCCAGCCCTTTCTCAGCAGAGATGTACACTGTAATGAACAGCACAGCATTTGGGACAAATATTTACTTAAGTTCTATCAAGATGGCATTGGCATTCAGGTTTACTTAGCAAACCTATCTGGAGTGGAGGCCACATTTTACTGTATTTTATGCCAGAGTTAACATCTGAGGGAAGGGGGTGGGGGTTAATCCTAGCCAGGCTGACATCAGGTTCATGCAATTACTGACTTTAAGTAGTGAAGGCCATGTGTTTAGTGTCTAACAAGCAGCTGGCTGCAGGTTAGATAAAATGTCAGTCTTCTCCATGGGGGAAATGGGTTGTTATAGCAGCAAAATGAAAAGGATTCAGCAGGGAACTAACTAAACGACAATTTACACAAGCACATGTATGGAATGTCAGTCAGCAGTTTAAGGAAAAGAATGTGTTGGAGCACAGCCTCCTAACAAGAAAAATGGAAATGTGTTGGAATTTTGTGCATTTACACCAGGAAATAACTTGTGCAAAAAATCAGCCACCTGAGAGTTGGGCCTGTTTTTTCATGACCTTTTTTATAACACCTTAAGATATGTCCACATCATAGGCCTTAATGCTCAGTTCCATTTTTTTTTTTGTCAGATTTGATATGTTTCCGTTGATGGTTCACGTGACCATGTGTCCAGCTGTAATAATATCTCTCTCACTTCCTAGGTGATGTATTTCTCCTCCATATTCCCCTATGTGGTGCTGTTCTGCTTTCTAATCCGAGGACTCCTGCTGGATGGGGCCTATGAGGGAATCACCTACATGTTCTACCCCAAGGTATTTGTAGATAAAATGGTTGAGTGTAGAGAAGGGAGCCAGGTGTGACTATTTCCCTGATATACCTGTTCCCTCTGTATATTTCTAGCTGGAGATTTGGGGGGATATGCAGGTGTGGCGGCAGGCAGCCACACAGGTGTTCTTTGCCCTTGGTCTTGGCTTTGGATCTATTATTGCATACTCTTCCTATAATCCCAAGAACAACAACTGCCACCGTGATGCCTACACTGTTTCTTTTATAAACTTCCTCACATCTGTACTGGCCACTCTGGTGGTGTTTGCTGTGCTCGGCTTTCGTGCCAAAGAGAAAGTCATGGAATGTGTAGTCAGGTATGTTTTAATTATAATGTAATCTAATTTATCTGTTACTGAAGGCAGTTTTTGACATGGCCTAGGGCTATTACAACATATTGTGCTCCAGGCATCACACACCATAGCTTGTTGGCATCTGATTAGATTTTTGTTTCAGAACCTAAGAGGATATTTCTGAATATGTTTGTTTTAAAATTGTAAACTTTGTCTTTTTCTTAGCAATGTGAGGGAGCTGTCAGAGCAGTTTCACAGCAATAATGTGGACAGACACCTGATGCCAACCTTTAACTACTCTGATCCCAGTTCTGTGGCTCTGGAGGACTACAGGGCCTGGTTTGACCAGCATGGAATAAATATCCCTGGCAATTTAACAGACTGTGACCTGGAAAAAGAAATGCAGAAGGTAAAGACTGACTTCTTGTACTGATGCCAATTTGCGTTGGTGGAATCATTTGTATTCTGGCTGTTGTACTTAGACACTAATGCTGGCACTCTTGTTCGTGTTCAGGGCGTGGAGGGCACTGGCCTGGCTTTTATTGCCTTCACAGAGGCTATGTCACTCCTCCCAGGCAGCCCATTCTGGTCAGCGCTCTTTTTCCTTATGCTGCTCAACTTGGGACTCAGCACCATGTTTGGCAATATGGAGGGCATCCTGGCCCCCCTCACTGACCGCTTCAAAACTCTGGCCAACAACAAGACCAAATTCACAAGTAACCACCTGTTTACTTCAGCACCTAATTCTGTTATCAGACACCTTCAGCAGACACATAACAGCCCTTATAAAAAAATGTCAGTTAATTTTGTGTTGCCAGGTGAAAGCTATTGGACAGTATAGTCTTACCTCATTACCCCCTGGCACTTGCCTTGCACTGCCATTTAACTAAGTTACAGCCAGAGGATCAGTGTCTTGTCATGTGTCATTTAGCTGATACTAAACAGAATCTCTAGTCCACCAGTCTCTCAGCTGGATTCACTGACTGCTTGAAGCAGGGAGAGCAAATGTCGAAAATGTATCTGATCAGGTTCTTTATAAAAATAAAAATAAACCACATGGTTGGCCTTCAGTGTTTGACTGTGTCTTCTGTCTTTACAGAAGTTGTGTTTTACCCTGACATGTCTGTTGTGTTGCAGTTTTCAGCTGTGTCCTTGGCTTCATGATTGGCCTGCTCTTCACCCAGCGCTGTGGGAACTACTTTGTGACAATGTTTGATGATTACTCTGCCACTCTGCCCCTCATCATCGTGGTGGCTTTTGAGACCTTCAGTGTGTCCTGGTTATATGGAGCTGATAGGTGAGGTCGTTTTCAGCTTCGACTTAACTCTTGAAATCTTAAATCCATGTATAGATAAATCTCAGCTCATCAGACCTCCGAGTCTCAAACTCTGAGACTCAGACACTGAGCTTTGACCACTTTGTTTCCAAAGGTTCCTTGATGACATCGAGGCGATGCTGGGCTGGCGTCCCAGTGTGCTTTACAAGTACCTGTGGAAATACATTTGCCTGCTTGCAATGCTGGGGCTGCTGGGAGCCACTGCCATTCGCATGTTCATGGAACGCCCCACTTATCTGGCATGGAACCAAGAGAAGGTATGGAGAATGATATTGAATAGTAAAAATTTCACCCTCACGACACTGAAAAGATTTGAGATGGGGTGTGGCGTTGGTGAATTTTGATTGTGAGGTTTGTTCAGTGCAGTGGAGTCGTCAACACTGTTTGCTCAGCTATCTAAAAACAGCAGCAGCTTTAGGCAGTGCATTCACAAGACAGGTTGCATCTTGGGTAAGGCTGTGTTTGTGTCTACACTTAAACTACAGGAAAAGTCAAAGCAAGCTGCCCTTTGCTCTCTCGCTCTTTCCTTCTCTCAACACCTACCTCCCTGCTTGAAAGAAATAATTCATGATGGATTTCTCTCAGTTCACATTGAACATGTAAAGCAAAGTAGTTAGACGTTCTGATTGTTTAAGTTCTTGAGTGATTAATTAGATTCTTTTTTTACCAGGCCTCTGAGGAGAATCTGGAGTACCCCGGCTGGGCTCTGGCTGTTCTAGCATTACTGATCATATTTGCCATGATACCCGTCCCACTGGCCTTGATCCACTCTGTTCTGAAGGACAGGACAAAACGAACACACAGAAATACAGAGACTGGTCGCTACAGCATTAGTAGCACAGATGACAAGTGTGAAACTCCCATGACGGACATATCGGTACTGGACCAAAGGAGCAGGACCTGCGTTTCTTTTTCCTAAATGTTGGGATTGAAACGTTACACGCTGGGAAATGGCCTGCAGTGCCCCGTCAGATATCCACAGGGCCATTTTGAAGGACATTTGAGCTATCTGTTTCTTTTAAGTGCAGATGTGACACAAAATAGCAGTATGGAACAAAAGCTTCCTCATTTTAATACTGAAAAGTATTTTATACTTAAATGAAGTCCAGCCATATCCAAAGAAAAATATTTTTGAAATTCCTACTATTTGAACAAGTCCATCTTTTAGAAAGTGTGTAATACTGAACAAATAATTCGTCGTGTGGTACCTTCAAGGTAGAATTTCCAGCAGCTGCTGATTTTTAGTGTTTTGTATAGAATTTACCATTTTTATCTTTTTCAGCGTTGTAAAAACACTTATGAAATGGATCTCAAGACGTTTCAAAGCCAGCAACTTTTTGGTCCATTTGTTTTGTTATGGCCCAAATATCTTTGCATGAGGACCCTACAAAGCTCACGTGTATTTTTTCAGTTCTTAATTTATCTTCAATTAGATTTTACAACAAACGAGACAGTTGTAGATTTAGATCATCAGCTGTGATCTGAGATGAGTTAAACTGAATTAATGACATCACTGTGTGGGTGTATGTACAGCAGCACAGGCACAGAGTGTCTGGTCCAGTGCTGCACCTGTTACCGTCAGGTCATTGTGGTCTGTTAATGGATATAAATCTGTGCCACTGTTTCGATACATATCAGAACTGTACTCAAAAGTACAGTTGTACTGTTTTTTGAGAAACTGTTACACCAGGAAAGAGGTAATTCAGTTCTGTTGACATTATGTGCAGCTATTAAGGCACAGTGTTTTGTTATTCACTACACAGAGGCCAACTTTGTTTACAGCTCAAAAAACACAACTGAGTCCTGAGTCACTGTGTTGGTTCTTCAGTTTTATACCACACTTTGTATGCGGTTGTATTATTAACTACACAACACGTGCATGTTGGCCTGCTCTGTTCAAATCAGTTTAAAATCCAACAGCTGCTACGAGTGTTTGGCTTTAGGATTTATTTCACAGTGGTTTTCACTGTATTGATCAAAGACATCAAATTAGACTCTGAAAATGTCAGTTTATATCATCCTGTCCTGTCTGTTTCTATGATGTCAAGCTGTAACAAAACCAGTGTGTTGGGGGGGGAAACCAGCAGCATCACCGTGTTGTGAAGCACATGGCCTTGAGGACTGTTGGTCTACAGATGGGAGTCTTTTTGTTTTGGTGTCTTTTGTTTTTGTTTTGCCTGAACTGGTTGCTGAATGCAGGGTACAAACACCAAGGAAAAGACACACAAACACATCTCTAATGTTTCTGTAAATTATGTATAGCACATGTAAACAAACCTTTTCTTGGATTTTCTGTTATTTGTGCCTCATATGTCTGAAGCGTTTTCTTTTTTAAGTTTGGGTTTAGGAGTAAATGAGGTGCACGGATACAAAGGCAAAGTACTCCTTTACTTGACATGTATAACTTCAAATCATGTAATTAAGGTGATTTTATAAAACTTTTTTAGACTGAATCACTTGGTCATCATAGTGTTTATGGTTTAGTAGCACATTTTCTGTCAAACTGAATTGACTTTATGAACTTGAACACTGTTGAATGTACGTGCCATGTACATGTATTGTGTTGCCTTCAGGTTTAATAAGGTTAATGGAACTAAATATTAAGATTGTTCCTGTAAAGAAACTTTTTTTTTTTTTTTTGGCAGATTGTATGTAGTTTGTATAAAATGAGTCTTTTGAGAAAATGTAATAAATTGTCACTGCTATGTAATTTACTGCAGGTCACCGATCTTCTATTAAATACTTTCAGCTCAGCTTAGGTTTGCAAATGGACCTTCAGACTTTGCCTGAGAGTCTTGACTATGTACAGTAGTTGCTAGAGTTTTCAAAAAGTTTTGAGGGTGTTTAGAAACTTCCTTTCTAGAAAGGGCACTACACATTCAAATAAATGCAGTAGCGTTGTACTAAGGAAATGCTTAAGAAATGTCTTATGTTGTAAACACTTCTCTGCTTGGGGACAGTCAAGTGTGTCAAGACTTGTCAAAAGTGTGTTGAAGTAGCTGACTTATTGTAGCTTTTGCTTTCTAAACACCTTTGACTTGTACTCATGGAACAGTACATTTGGAGAATGAAGAATAAACTGAGACCACAAATAATGGTGTAAAAGAAACCTTTTATTAACATGTTTAGCCTGTGTTTTGTGTTTGTTGTTAGGTTGTTGTATCACAGCTAAGCAGTACATCTTTGTGTCAGCAGGGAGCTCTGCTGCACTCGTGTTGGAGTATCTTCCTGCCGAACACCATGTTTATAGTTGGAACAAGGCAGGTCATGTGAACATTGAAAATTTTAATCATTTAAACTTATTTTGGTTATTTTTCTTGTATTTAAATCAGAATTTTTCTAGAGGACCTACATACAGATTTTAAAGGCTATGAGCAAACAACCACTGTTCATTACAGTTTCAAGGTGAAATTTTTAGAAGTTTAAACAACATCGAACTGGAGCGCAGCTTGTTTAAAAAAAAAAAAAAAGCCTCTAACTCATACAAGACTTTTCTGTCGCACGAATGTAACTTTTCCTTTGCTTCATCTGGCTACACATAGCACTTGTGTAAGCCACCTCCTGTGTGTGCAAGCGCATTCACAGGTGTCCCCTTGGAATTATTAGGTGTCTGGGGAATCCAGTTGTCTTGGATGCAGTCTCACTTCAGTCAGCCAGAGAGGCAGAGAGGACAGGACCAACACCCTGCAAAGACAAACGACATCCTCGCTTCGACCTCAGGTAAAAACACATTTGACGAGATGCATTTAAAATGTTAACACTTTGAATAATCTGAGTGTGTGTTTGTTTATGACTGGGAGGTTGTTAAATTGATTTAGACGCCTCTTTTTAGGCCAAAACGAGGTGGAGCCTCCTACATGCAACTGGGGAATTCTAACTATACAATATGAAATATTGTTTTAAAAATCATCTTACGTTTTAGGGAGTGGAGTAAATTCCTAGCCAGCCTTGTTCTCGAACAGGGGAAAGTGAACATACAGTACGTTTGCTTTCAAAATAAATACATCATAGCACAACTAAGAATACGCATATTTTTTGTTTTCTCTGATGAGTACACCTGCCCATGGTGTGCCCCATCTCTCGCCCACTGTCAGCTTGCCCCCCGCAACCCTATTTAGGGGTAAGCAGTATAGATAATGAATGGATGGATGGACTGATAAGTACTTTTCATTTGAAGGTGTACCAGTGGCTGACCTACATGGCGGGCCTGGCAGCTCTGTGCCTACTGTCGGTGTTTTCACTGAGCAGCTCCCAGAGCACCTTGCAGTCTGAGCAGGAGATCAAAAACGCCCATCAGGCCCCAGCAGCACCTCCTCCTCATCCTCCATCACACATAAGGGACCTTCTCAGAAAAGACGAAACCACTCATTTAAATGCAATGCTAACATGTAAGTCTACTCATATCCTTCCTGCACAATAGTGATCTTGAAAAAGGTGGCGTATGCCTAAATAACAAAACACCTTCCACATAAATGTATAAACTATAGTATGCTGGCATTTGTTGGTTTTGCTCTTATGAGATTGGAGCTTAACTTTGCGTCATTTAGGGCAGGACCTGTGTGAAAACTGCTGGTCTTTGTTATGTTTGTGCCTTCACAGATGCCCAAATGGACAAAGATAATGCCAAAGTGTTTCTATTCATCGCTGCTGCCGTGGGCACCTTCGCTCTGATGGCTGCTGTGTACTGCATCTACAACAAGTTCTACACCAAACACCAGTACCTGCACACCCAGCTTAACAATGACCCAGGTAGATGAATAGATCTTTGTTAAATGGTTACTGAGTTAGGGCTTCTTTCAGTTGAGGAAGCTGCAGCTGTGTGGTAAAAACACATTTACCATACATGCACTTAATCTTCCTATACCCTACAAAGTATCTCACTGCAACAGGCAAAACTGAAATGAAACTAAAAACTGACAAGTATAAGCAATGAAACTTGTCTCACAGACTGAAATACAAACTGACTAATCACTGGGTGGAGACTTTAATCGAGAGAAACCTGGACTCCACAACATCATTTTCCTATTTCATCTCCTGGGTATAGTGTTGTGAAGCATCATCACAAGCCAGCTGGGCTTTAAACGTGTGCATGCTATGTCATGTTTATTGGTGTTGTGCGACATGGCTTCTTTCTGCCTGCTGCCATTTGGAGTCACTATTAAATGATGCTGCACTGTGTAGAAATAGTAAATGTGTTTGTTCAGTTGATGTTAAATATAGATAGTGTAACGTAAGTGTTCTTTTCCACCACTAAGTGGAATTTAGGGGCCTTTTAAATATATATGAACTTTCTTTTGTCACTGTTTGCAGATTTCACCTCAGACCCCATGGACCCTCCCCCTGTGTTTTTCCACGCCTCTGTTGGCTCCAGCACAGTAGATGTGCGTAAAGTTGGCTATGGCTCGCTCTCGGACACTCCGTCCGTCATCTCTGTCCCACCCAGGCTGTCCCCCCCTCCCTCTGCCTTGCCTTTCCCTCCCCGCTTCCTCTCCTCGCACTCTCTGAGAACCATATCAGCTAAGGATCTGGAGAAGAGCTGCATCTGATATCGAATGTTTAGCAGTTTGAGCCTTTTAAATGACAGTAAAGAAGACATAGTTAATTGGATGTGCATGTTTATTCCTGTTATCTATAAACATCAGAATAGGTTTTAGTTTTGCAGGCACATTTTTCTGAAAATGTTTTATAGTAAAAACAGTGCATCACTTTTAAACCTGAGGAATGGGTTTACACACACAACCTTATCCAGTCAAGGATGTCAGTAGGAAAATGCAGAAGAAAATCATCAACAATTTGTTGGCAGAATACACAACAGAGTCCTTTGATTTAACTCCTGTGTTGAAATCTCAGAGTATCTCATCCAGTCTGTCACTGACTGTTGTTGCCTGTGACTTCCTGACCTGTAGCCCTCTCACTGTAGTTTACCACAAACCCGCTCTAAACATTGTGCATGAGCTGTAGTCATTTGTTCCGTATGTTTGTGCATCAACAATAAACTAAACCCTTCCTGCTCCATAATCAAACACCATCCATCCTTTCAGTAGACATCCATTATGGTGCCAGAAAACAACATGAAAGAAATGCGACCCTTGCCCATTTACAGTAACATACTGTAGTGAAGTGAAAGTCTACTTTTCTTCTGCAAGCTTTTACACTGAAGGTATAAAGGAATTTTTAAGCAAAACACAAAATCAAGAGGCCAAATTTGATTTGTGTATCTTAAGGTACATACAAAATCCAATACTGTAATGGAATAATTTGTGTTTAGGTTGTTTTGTCAGAGGATTTCAGCAAGCAGATGATATCAGAAAGTATTTGTGAGTCTTTGGCGTGTGTTGCAGTTGGTTTATACACCCAGTTCAAACACCGATTCATATGTCTAAAAGATTTTACTCTTATTAATTTAGATGTGACACAGAGTAAGCAACAAAGAAAAGCCAAGATAATTTGACTCATCAAATTGGCAGTTCTGTAGCTACAGCCCCCCTTTTCACAGCAAATGCAGTATTTTGTGCCAATTTCTGATGCATACAGTGGACACATTGGTACAGTAGATGGCATATTACTGGTGGGAGGAGAAGCCACACACTCATACCTCTGATGCAGTCTTTTGCTTTTAAAATCTGTTTTTCATACAATGACAATTTCAAATGACCCTGGAATCATACAGTAAGGTCCTATAAACTGGTTTACTCTACACTAGATGACCACAAAAACTGCTCCCGATTTGGTGATAGTTTTCATTATATTGTATTAAGTCAGGTGTTGCAAATCACTGTTATAAATTCAAGGTACTAAACAGGTGTTGACTGCATACTGATAGAGCTCCAATAATGATGTAGGCTGCAGTAAAACCACAAGTCTGCCTATCTTTTTCAAATCAAATCAGATGTTTGCCTTTATCGATGACCTAGCCTTCAAGTGTGGGTCTTTAGTCATTTTTAAAGAACCCCTGGTCATAAACTAGCAAATATCCCGGTCCAACCCAGAGTCTTTTCAGTGTCCTGGGAGCTGACTGCCCCTCCCGTGTTACAAACACCCGGGAACTCTTGATAAGCTTCGATCGGACGGTGTTTACGCTAACCCTCTCCATTCAAGGCTTGTGCGCTCCAAAAATAGACACTGCTCGGACAGTCAAGGCTCAAAACACCGGGCTGCGGGGAAGGAAGTGACATGCTACCCTCCACCCACCACACACGCGCGCGCGGGCGCGGAGAGATTAGCGCTCATGCAGCAGTAATCTGGTTTCAGGACCACGGCCAGAGGCAGCGTTTGGCCTGAATCCTGTGGAGAGTTGGCTCCGGCGCGCTGCAAACTTTTACGCACACCGAAGAGTGTAACGAAGTTTCTTTGGATATTAAGGACTTTGGCAAAGTGGGGCTGAATATGTTTGTTCGGTTCATTCTAAATAAAGGAAGTTGAAGTAAATTAAATGCCCGGATAATCACTGTCGCTCACTACAGATTAGTCTGCACAGAAACCTGGCGGTTAAGGATTCCGGTGATCAAATAAAATCAAGTAATTTTTTTATGTCAGGGTGAGAAACACGAGGCGGAGGGGACGACGGTGCGCTCAGGTGGGAGCGCGCAAAGACTGCACATTGGTGTGATCCTGGAGTCGTGAGGATGGAGATCCGGCCGGACAGATTTAAGGCCGAGGCAGCCAAGACTCTCGGGAAAATATACAGGTATGTAAAATCCCTCCTGGATGACAATAAAATATATCCTTTGCAGTTAAATTGGGCTACTGATACTGAAACTTGATTTTGATCTGAGTATTTAACTTAAAAGAGAAGCAAAGTCATTTTAAGATCAAGATGCTCAGGAGGTTGAATGACCTGGCACAACATCTGTTTTATCTGTAGACCACTGGATGTATCACATAAGACACTGAGATGCTGTACATAATAGATTACTTTATATGGCATTGCAGACAAACAATAGCTGATAAAAAAAAAATTGCAACTGTTTTCTCTGAGCACACAAATGCTCTGTAGAAATCTAAATTATTCTTCCAATGTCTATATCACATGTAAGTAAATCCATCTCCTTTGGATATGAGGAACAAATAAAATGAATTAAGTTTCATTTTAGGCCAAAAATGGCTCTATCCAGTGTAAGATGAAGCATTGGATCGATGGCTAGATTCATTTCATCCGGGCCAAGGCTTTTCTGCAGTGCTGTCACATTATCCAATTACAGTGTAACTGTTTTAAGTGGAGACTTGTGTTGAGTTATGGCCGAGCAATCAAAGCAATGGGCTTCAGCATCTAACATACATATAGTCTGAAACGATTTATTTTGCTAAACTCCCTCGGTGTAAATGTGTGCAGTGTAAAACAGGCCTGGGAGGTGCTCTCTACGGCCTGTTATGCCAACCCCCCTGCCACTGGGACAACAAACACGGGAAAACGTTCATTAACTCCCAATCTAAATTCTCCAGCTTTTTTAAAGAACAAGAAATGCGGGGAGGGGGCTGCTATGTGACTTTCAGTGAACCTCCACAGCTAAGGAAGCTGCTGTGGTTGGCACACCTTCCCCAGCTGAGGAAAGTGTGTGAGGTAGTCAGGGGTCTGACCAGTAATGGATATCTTACAGCAGTAATATATTGATGGACTCCCCGTTCTTTCTCTTGAGATTTCATGCAGCGTCTACACACTTAAATCCTTTCCAGAAATAACCGCTCCCGGTCCAAGCTGTCGACCTATGTAAATCCCTGCAGGCCGCACACCTTCACCACCCCCTCCCCCCCTCTCTCTACCCCTTCAAGTAGCCCGATGGCTTGTCATCATGTCCCTGCTGCACCTCACAGCCAGGATTAGATCACTCGACTCGTTGCGAGCCTGCAGAGACCTATAACCTTCATTTCCGTGGAGTGCACGTTTCTCATCGGTGCTCCCGTGGTACCTTGTTGCCATGCGTAATGCGCGCCGGCCGGTTCCATGGTCCTGTTGTCTGCACGCAACATCCCAGGAGGGGAGAAAGGCAGCATGTGGTGACTGATTGTTCATTGTATAAATGTATGAGCAGGCTTTTCTGTTGCTTTCAGTTTTTTTCTGATCAAGTCTGATCTGCTGGTTCTATTCACTTTCTTTTGATTCTTTTTATTCTAGTAGGTGTGACACAACAAGGCATGATTTCGCTGAAGTACCAGTCCATCACCAAACCCAGTCAAAGACTCATTGGGCTATCTAGGTCTGCAACTAATAAGTATCAACCAATTGATTAACCTATTGTCATAATTCATCGTTTGAGGTATAAACACCCAAAAATGACCATCACAAATTCAAATACCCTAAGGAGATATGAAATGTTTTGTCTTTATCAGACCCATAGTCCAAAACCCAAAACTCCTCAATTTACTGTAATGTTAAGACAAGGTAAACAGCCATTTATCACATTTGAAAACATTAAACAAGAGAATGTTGTTTCTTAAATTTCTGTCATAGCTAAAACACGGGCTTTGCACAGTTGAGTGTAAGTTGAATAACCAAGATCTTTGCATACTTTTAATGTATTCACAGCAGAGCATAATGCTCTCCTAGCTGATCCAGCTAGAATTTTATTTCCAACCCGATATGTCATACTTATCAAACGTAAATCCCATTTATATTCCTTATATAAAATGTCATAATTTACACAAGTTGTTATATTTGGTCCATGATTCCAAGCTGTTGACTCAACTCTGAACCAAACCACTGAACACACACACACTGGGCACAATCGGTCATTTGAATTCAGCTTTCTGAAATATCACCATAAATTCAAAACTGAGCAGTTTTTCTAAGCGAGTTCTATTGGTTCACAGAAACACCCTGACCTTTGCTCATGATGTGGCAAGACCAAGGTAACTTGTGAGGATTACAAGCTCAGGGTCAGTCATAAAAAGTCACTAGGGCAGATGTGCGCTGCTCTGTGGTAGAAAAAAAAAAAGTAAAGAAAACAAGCATGTAACATTTGGTCATGGAGATAAATTGGTGCTAAGGAAGAAGGAATAGCTGTGAATTGTGTGTGAGACTATGTGTAAGTCAGGGGAATTGACAGTAAAAGGAAGGGTTAAAGATGATGAGGAGACAGGAAGAATGGAAAGAATGGCCCACCCAGACAAAAATAGAGCCAGAGATATAAATAATTCAGTATAGAGAATCATTAATACTTGATCAGTTTTAGAATCCCTGCTTACAGTAACTAATAGAGGATCAGGATTTTATAGTTGTGTTGCTGTTATTTCCCAGTCTGCTTACAGTAGCAGGTTTACTGGTAGGAACACAGTCCATCTCTAGAGTCTTTTTGTTACTCAGTACGTCAATGCCCGTATCATTCTGTCTCTGCAGGAAGTTGTTCTTACAAAACTAGATCTGCGATTGTACCCATTTTTCTAGCTTTGGTGATCAGTTTCACTTCATACCTCTGTACCTTTTTTTGTCATTTGTATCTGATAGTTGACTGCCCACACGTTAATAATGATGTTGAGATACCGTCTAGAATCGGCTCGTGTTAGCCGTTAAAGTTATTGGTCCCAGGGTTTCAAATGTGACTATTCAAAAGATCAATTTTTCTTCATAGTTTTATAGCATCTCACTAGGAAAAGTTATGAATGAAGTGTCTATCTGGGGTTTCATGTGACCTAATATTTAGATTTTGGTCATCACAACAAAACTGATAGTTCATTGTCTGTATACTGTTGTATATTGTATACTGGCTCTGCTAGTCATTGTCACAATTCCTGTTTTACCCACCAGATGTCATCAGATTTATGACCACTGTGGGCAAGGAAAACCTCAGCACCACAGAACACATCTTTTTAAAATTAATAACATAATGTTAGAACTGGTATGCTACTTGACCACTGGTTCTGGTACATAAATACCACTTGGACTTAGACAGATCCACCATACGGTGTAACTGAGAACAGGCTCCATTGACTCACCGCTCCTAAAGAAAATCTGCAATATAGATATTAAGGCGTAAATTAAAATGTTTTGGAGCACTCAATACTTGTTATACGTGTTCTGTTTCACATTTTTAATAGCTGTTTTGTTGAACTCAAGTGGCAGCACTACACTGCTGAAATGTCTAAATTTACATAAAGGAACCTTTTGGTGAGAACTGTCAAAAAGTGTCACTGCAAACTATCTACATAGGTCAAAGGCTGGCACTCCAGACAACCATGTCACACCACCACTAGCTGACAGAAGAGTCAGACAAAGATTTAGCATGTATGAAATTGTAACAATTAAAAATCCACTTTGTGAAAAAAACAGCTTCAGTAGTGCGCTTTTTACACGAGTGCATCTTTGTAAGTATATTTATGATACAGGACCAAGTGAGAGACTAGAGCATTAACATACTAACAGGGATTATAAGTAACAGAACGTTTTCCATTGGGGTTTCCACTCTCTTCTTTACAGAGTTCTTGAGAAGAAGAAGGAAAATGGTGAGACTATTGAGCTGTCAGTGGAGGGGCGGCCGGAGCTGGTGAAGGAGAAGCAGATGCCCGTGGTGGACTGCACATGCTTCGGCCTTCCTAAGCGCTATATCATCGCCATCCTCTCTGGCATTGGCTTCTGCATCTCCTTTGGTATCCGATGTAACTTGGGTGTGGCCATCGTCAGCATGGTCAACAGTCACACCGTCTTCAGAGACAACAAGAAGGTCATAGTGGTGAGTGGTGGTGAACTGGAACTGCTTTTATGGTTTGATCAAGGGCCCTTAATTTCAGCTACAGGACAGCTTAATGCTACAGAATACAGTGATATTTTAAACACTGTGCCTTGAAGAAATGTTTTACCAATCTTTGTTGACAGTGTAAATTGATACAGGCAGGTCAAAGAAACAACTGAGCATGTCAGTCAGTGCTGTGGTTTCAGACACATCAGTTCTCCTGCTTTAACTGTTCCTTCTTAACCTCTGTGCATTGGATTGATCAGAGTCTTATTTATTGCACATTCATTTTGGAGTTTTGTCGGTTACTTGTCCTCCTGTCTGTCCCAACAGGAACCTCAGTTTGACTGGGATCCAGAAACAGTGGGGATGATCCATGGCTCATTCTTCTGGGGATACATAGTAACCCAAATCCCAGGAGGGTTCATCTGTCAAAAATTTGCAGCAAACAGGCCTGTCACCACACTACTTATTGTATGCAAGGAATGCTTTGAACTGCTTTATATACTGATTGTTAATTTCTTCTCACTGTGTTTTCCTCCTGCAGAGTGTTTGGCTTTGCTATAGTGGCCACATCTTTCCTGAATGTGCTCATCCCCACAGCAGCGCGGATACACTTTGGCTGTGTTATCATTGTCAGGGTGTGTCAGGGACTTGTGGAGGTGCTTGACATTTCTCTTAAGAAAAGCAATTAAAATCTAATATGCATGTTTTTGACCATTTAACATGTTGCAAATGCTTCAATTCCATTTCCTGCAGGGGGTTTCATATCCGGCCTGTCATGGTATTTGGGCAAAATGGGCGCCACCTCTTGAAAGAAGTCGCCTGGCCACGACAGCATTTTGTGGTGAGTCCATTATCACTGTACCTGTTTCTCTGTCTTTCAACAACAGATGTGACTTTAAGGTACATGTATTGCTAGTTCAGTATAGTGAAAAGTTTTAGAGCTAGATGGGCTTTCTTCACTGTTTTAAATGGCTGATTAACAGACAATTAAACTAACTGTTAAACTTGTTATCTAGGTTCTTATGCTGGCGCTGTGATTGCCATGCCATTAGCGGGAATCCTAGTCCAGTACATGGGATGGTCATCGGTCTTCTATGTCTATGGTAAGAGAAGATAGATACTGTAGGTAGAGAGAATACTTATCCCAAAGGGAGATTGTAGTGTTGCAGTAGTCACTTCACAAAGCACACAATAGGCAAGAAAACACAATTTAAGGGTTAAATACATTCAAAAACGAAACAGACCCCATAAGGTACTGTTTGAGCAGTAGGTTGTGCAGCAGATGTGAGGTGTTCAACGGTTGATCAGTTTGTTCAGTTTGTCAGTGTCACCAGCTGCTCACACTCAAGAACCTGAACTTTCTAAAGAAATAGCACAGTGTGATTGTTGCCATAATAAGCATGATAACACAGTTAGAGTAACGCATTAGTTTGTAACAAATGTAAATACATCAGCACACTGATTTCAGTAGTTGTGTGTGCATGCCCATCAACACACACAGCATTCAGTAACACTGTAGAGGATGAAAAATACTGGAAATGACAGAATAAGAAAACCCCAAATATATTTTAAATATGAGAAACAGAAATAAAAACTTTACTCGTTATTTATGAATTCAACATTTAATTCCAGCCTGTAGCTACAGTCAAGGTGTCTCCTTTGCTGCTTGTTTTGTTTGACCTTTCTTCCACATTTGACACTTACAGTGCTCTTTTTCTTTTCTTGGCCCGTTTGACTGTCTGTCTTCCTTGCTACCCACAGGAAGTTTTGGGGTCATGTGGTACTGCTTTTGGATCCTGGTGTCTTATGAAAGTCCAGCAGCCCATCCCACCATCACTGAAGAGGAGAAGAACTACATCGAGGAAAGCATTGGGGAGTTGGCCCAGCATTCAATATCGGTTAGTAGGTTCCCCTCAAGTACGATATGATTCAGACACTGAAGTTAACAGAACTTGGTCTGTCATTTACATCGCGCAATCTCATTATGCCGTTACTTTGTTGTAGTATGCAAAACATTAAGATAAGGTTAGAATCACAAATAGATTTGAACAAATAATGTGGAGATGGTAAACAAGCAAAGACAAGCAAGAGTAAGGAGGAGGTTAGCCTGGGTGGAGCTTAAGAGTGTGACAACCCTTACCATGAATGTCATCAAGAATTCCGAAATAGTAATAATATTTTATCAAAATGAAAACACCACAGATAAATTAACTTGTCGGTGGCAATCTCTGTCCATTTGTGTCTGCATGCATATAAAGCTGATAAGTTTAACCCCCTTTTGACCATAATGTCCTGGTCTCTGGTGCTTGATGTTTTTAATTAAACCTCAAATATAAAACACTGGTTGTTAATTCAGCTGATAATAAATATAAAACACTGGTTGTTAATTCAGATAAACAACTGATAATTTCATTATGAGTTCAGTGAAATAAGTTACGCATTGGTCTGTGTTGCAGAAATTCAACACACCATGGAAGGCCTTCTTTACATCCATGCCAGTGTATGCCATCATCGTGGCTAATTTCTGCAGAAGCTGGACTTTCTACTTGCTTCTCATCAGCCAGCCTGCATACTTCGAGGAGGTGTTTGGGTTCGAGATTAGCAAGGTAACTGAAACTAGTTGTGGGCGGTGGGTTAAGGGTGTTGTAGTGTGCCTGGAACAAACATTTTCATACCTACAATGACATGATACTGCACTGTTACAGCTATAGGATGTCTGGTTTCCATGTTAATCATGCTGATGGTAGACCATACCTAGAGGTCTCTCATCTGTGGCATAAAAAATCTTTTTTGCTCTCTCACTTAGGTGGGCATAGTTTCTGCTCTTCCCCATCTGGTTATGACCATCATTGTGCCTATTGGTGGCCAGATTGCTGACTATCTACGCACCAACCGAATCATGACCACCACCAATGTCAGGAAACTTATGAACTGTGGGGGTAAGAAAGGGCCAAAATGAAGGGAAGGCAAATTATAACTGCAGAAAGTGAACACAGGGATGTGGTAATCAAGAGGTAAAGCTGTCTTGCTGTGGCCAATATGAAGCAGAAGCTCTGCCTCTGTCTGCTATTTTTGAAGTACAGAATAAAATTGATAGCAAAATAAAATGGAGACGCAGGCGATGTACATTTCACTTTGTGGGAAGCTGTGTCAGGACTAGGGCAAGTTTAAGTTACTGCTCAGTCTGCAATACTGCATGAAAAAGGAGAAAAGCAAGGCATGAATAAAAAATGGCCTTCAGTTGATTTGTTTCTGTGCTATTTCACTTGACTCCATCAGGGTTTGGGATGGAGGCAACTCTGCTGCTGGTGGTGGGCTTTTCTCATGCAAAAGGTGTTTCCATTTCATTCCTGGTCCTGGCTGTAGGTTTCTCTGGCTTTGCCATATCAGGTGAAATCATAACTTCAGTATTTATTCTTTAAGTCCATTTTGACTGTGGAGACAATGTGTACCTTATTCCTTTTTGGCCACAAGAATTACTAGACATTGGAGGTCTGGTGCTGTTTTATTTTAAAATTATGAATAAGATATATGATACTAATCATTTTTATTCTTCCTCATAAGGTTTCAATGTCAACCACCTGGACATTGCACCACGGTATGCTAGTATCCTCATGGGTATCTCCAATGGTGTGGGCACTTTGTCTGGAATGGTTTGCCCACTTATAGTTGGTGCCATGACAAAGCACAAGGTGAGAACTGATTCCAAATATCTGTAATTCTCTAACTCCTAAAAATGTGTATTTGTATGGACAGTGACAGACATTAACTGTAATTTACTAGTAGAAAGTAGCAGAGTAACTGATATTGTATCCTGACACATCACACTTTAAGACACATTTCTGTTGTGTCTTTTTTTTGTATTGTTATTTTATTTTTATGACTAAGTTTGGTAATAGAACATATTTGTGCTATCTAAGACAAGTGGAGGGGGGTCACTTTCCCAGCAAGACGCTTTATGTCTATAAACCATACAAGGAGAACTCTATTTCTTAAGCGGCATGGATACAAATTTAATTTTGAGCTGAGATCAGAAGTATCCAGAGATTAAGCACAATACACATACGACAAACCTCTCTCTGAATGGTTTGATTTAATGAGTGAATATTTTTATAATTTTAGAATTTTTTTTGCCGAGATATCTGCTGCTGTTGGTCATTCGCAGTTTTGCCCATGTATACCTCATATGCTATTTGCACCTCATCACCAACGCCCTGGTGATGCTGAACCATCTGACAATCTTCTATTACTGTTTGTACTGTACACAGTTTTTAGTCACAGCTTATTGGCTGTACCGTTTAGATTTATCCTAATTACATTAATCCAGTTTTTATTCTATTCTATTCTATGTTTATTCTATTTTAGTTCCTAAATGTTATGGCACCCAATATACTAGGTGAAAGAGAAACAGTATTTCGATTTTCTGTATGTCCTGCACATATGGTGAAGTCATGATAAAATCCTTTAACCTTGAATATTTAGATTTTAAAATCGTAATAAAAAAATTACACAGTTTTTTTTATGCTTACAACCTGTCCTACTCTTATTTCTCTCTCACCTTCCTTTGACAGACGCGGGAGGAGTGGCAGGGTGTGTTTCTTATTGCCTCACTTGTTCATTACGGCGGTGTTATATTCTATGGTGTGTATATTATCCTCTTCATTTTCTACTCGTTCTTCCTCAGAGCATCAAGTTGTTTAAATTTTTAGCTACTGTTCTTAATGCCATGAAGCTGAAAATACAGTTAAACATAGAGTTAATTTATTGTCGGTTCTGTTCTAAGTCTGAACCATATGTACAAAGTCTGTAGTCTATGGTTTGATCTTGTCTATCTACAGGCATTTTTGCATCTGGAGAGAAGCAATCTTGGGCTGAGCCAGAGCAGCTAAGTGATGAGAAATGTGGCATCTTGGATGAAGATGAACTTGCAAATGAGACAGAGGAGCTGTATCGCACAAGTGGAGGAACAGGTTATGGAGCTATTAACCAGGGAGGAGATCCCAATGGAGCTGCAGGCATAATAGGAGGAGGAGGCTGGGTCTCGGATTGGGACACAACTGAGGAGTATGTACAACCAGCCGCAACCAGTAATTACTTTTATGGAGGAGATGGGGACCAAAAGGTAACATAAAACCAGTGGATCCTCTGTACATAGCCTTTAGCGAGGCAGAACCAGGGTGGGATTTCCTGATGTCATGAAGAACTTTAAGAGTGCAAATCTGATGGAATGCAGGAGGGCACAATTTTCAGCAAGTGCGACTGTATTAATATAACTGAACTGAATTCAAAGACACTGCACAGTCAAGGTGAAGGCAGTAGCAAATGTAAAGTGTGTGTTTGTGTGTAATTGCAATTGTGTACCTTATTGTGTAAATAAGAATGTTTTAGGGCCTGTCAGCCTCCCTGTAATCACTGCTGGAGAGAGGATGTGTTTTAGGTCTGGTGTGGCTTTCTCTGATGTTTATTTGTTGTAATAATAATTGTAGAAATTTCTATATTAACTGATAAAATGTATCTTTCATGCCTCTCATTTACATTTGTATCAACCAGATGACAAATCTTTAAGAGCTCACTGGTCACAAGCACACTTCAATTGTAGAATAGCAGAGTAGGTACATCTTCTGATGTTAAAACCAAAAATAACTATGTTTTCACACAATGTAATAAAATGTTTTTCCCCTGAAACCAGTGTTAAGTTTTAGAAAAAGCATGTTACTTGTGCCAACAACAAAATATTTTGCACTGCAGTACTGGTTAAGTTACCTACTGTAACTAAACACCTGCAAATATTAATGTACACAGGTTTCTTTGAAATCTACATAACCTATTTTGACATTTTTAGATGCAGCATTTTGATTTTATAATGCAAGACTGGGAAATAAAAATGCCTTGTACAGACAGGACTACATGAAATGTCACGGTTCAGGGTAATAACAATCCTATATTAGACAAATGCATTTCCTGAAGAAAATGCGTGTAATCAGTCTCACCCCCTTTCTGTTGCTTAACACCGCTGACTTTAGTGTGGCAGGCCATGGTTCAGTTCCCTGTCAGGGCAATGATAAATCACTTTGTGAGTGTGATTTAGATCTCTGTGCAATCTCAGTCTCATGTGACTATGGAATGAGTGTTTTCTTGAATAGCAACCAATATATTCTAGCCTATTACAAGATCCTGATTTCTGGAGCTCAGTGTTGTGTTCTGGCGCTATATAGAAAATAAAATTAAATAAAATTAACTTGACCTTCAAGGGGGGGCAGGGCGCCCCCCCTAATATCGCTGTAGATAAGATCCAAAACACTGACACAGTGATATTCATATATCTTTCTCCCAGAGCCTCCAGTCCTACTGGGAGTGCTGGTGTTAGGGCCCTTCATGTACGCCAGAGGCCCTCAGCTGCAGCACTGGATGGACATGGTCAACACTCCACAGGAGCCGGTTTAAGCAACCAAACCTGAACAGATCCACAGACACACATGTGCATGTACATACACACAGAGTCTGAAATAATAGAAGAAAAGTGCTAATGAATGTGTTCATCATTTGTAAAACGCCTTGTGGGGAATTCCATCTGCTAATAAAACGGTGTTTAGCTGAAAAGTGTGTTTGTAATTGCATGTGATTTTTACTTTGTCAGTGTGTGCACGGCAGATATTTCAACGCTGGAGCCTGAGAAAGTTCGGCCGCTGTCCCCAACCGCCCCCTAGTGCGCATGTGCAGTGGACCCCAGAACGCGGAAGCAAATCCGGAAAAAAAACTGATTTGTCGTGTGCGCCAGGCGAGCAACATTCAGTGGGGAAAATAAATAGAATAAATGAATGTATTAATGCTATGAAAACACGTTGTCACAATACAGACATTGAAAAATCTCCTACCTTTTCCCTTTTCATACATCCGTGGGAATAATGGTCTCCATCTTGTGATTCGGTATCCATCTGTTATAATATATGAATGGGACGTACAAGGGTTGGATTTAGTTTATTGTTATAATCATTCCTATTGGTGTTTGTGTCTGGTTTGACACCATGAAGATAAACGAGAACACTGGAGGGACACAAAGTTGTGTTGGTTCCTTACAATGTAAACCACGTGGCCAGGTAACGTTAACATTAACACCTGATCAGTGTTGATACACACGCGAAGTCTGTCACGTTTTTCTTTTATTTTCCTCTGCTGATCTTTTTAGTGATGAGTGTTTGAATGTCATTTCTTTAGTATCAATGTTTAAACATGGCAGATGGGTTTTATTTTGACTTCTAAATAAGTCTGCAACTAATAATAATATGGAGAAAACAATCTCATCACAAGTTCCATTTAGTGGCTTTTCTGGAGCTTTCCGTCGTATCATACAGTCTCATTTGTCATGGAGCATCTGAAAGCTTTTTGTCCAGGCTGGCACAAGGTAAAGAAATAACTTAGGACAGATGACACATCTGACCCAGCTGCCAATACAAGCTTTTGATCCTTTGACAGTTTGAAGTCTCTTTAACTGGCACAGCAGAACTAGCTCCAGTCCTTTGGCATCTGGATATATGATTAAGTTAAAGCTGTAGAAACCTCCAGTCCCTGTGTCTTACCCACCTGTTTACCCTCTTCAGGTATCATGAATGGATGAAGTGTCCAGAGCTGCAGCATCCCAGTATAGAAGAGGAGCAGTGCACAGATCCCAGTATAGAAGAGGAGCAGTGCATGGTGGGAGATGTCAGCATTATCCTGACGGACCCAACAGACCTCTCCTCGGCTGAGCTGAAGATCATGATAGCAGGTGATGCAGATAGCAGGTTTATCTTAAAAGTGATTCAAAATCAAAGACTGAGCAAATATCTACAGTCAGCCTGTGCTGTGGTTTGGACATCTCAATCATTTCCTATGTATATCTCTTTATATGTGGACATTATATTCCCTGTTTTCTACAGAGCCCAGTTGCAGAGGCAAGGGCATTGGGAAGGAGGTGACACACATGATGATGCGCTACGGTGAGCATCTGATCCCATCTTTCAGAAGGTTTCGAGCAGGAAGACAGAAGCTTAAAGTCACTGTGTAGAAGTTGAAAAGTTCCACATATCTTGATTTACTGCCCATTTTGCTGCAATTCAGTCTGTGTGCCATGTTCATCTTTAGTTGGAGAATCAACCTGTGGTGGAGCAGGAAAAATAATAAATGCAAAATCACCATGAGAATGCAGACAGCAGTGGATGGGATTGATGCAGGTGTATGGTTTGTTGTAAGACGACTTGCACAATAAACTACTTTTAAATAGTATTGTTTGTGTTTGTCAGGAAAAGTAAACTGCTCCTAGCATTCAGTACTATCTTATGTTGACTAAAAATAATGGGATGATACATTGCTCGGTTCTGATTCCTTAGATATAAACTACATTTGACAGCGTGTGATAAGCTGCATTGCTAGACTTGCCTAAGCAGCTGAAAACTGTAAATGTGCTAATGTGGTTGGGACTGGTGGTGCATTATGAAAACCACAGTCTTGCAACAATGTAGTGTGGGTTTGATTCCCAACAGGGCTGAGCATTATTTTGCTCATCAATTAAACATTTGAAATGAGATCACATTTGCCATCTAGCCTACTGAACACCCACTATTCAACATCTTTTAAGCTATGGGCTATTTAGACTTGTTTTAGGAAAAAATATGATTCATAGCACAAAATGTCAGGCTATATAGTATATAGCTATAGCCAACGGCAATCAGACGTGCCAAATAAGAAACATGGTCTTCAACATGAGTTCATGTTTATTTTATATTTTATTGTGTCAGCTTGAAACCATACAACCATGTAGTGTAGTCGAACAGGAATGTGCATGGCGAATCAAATTCCAAACAATCCATGAACCAATAAATGACACGTCTCGATTGCACTTCATTTTATTGACCACCAGATACTCGAGCACTGTGTCATTGAAGCCTTGAGTAATGAACCTTTTTTAAATACTGTGTCGAAGCTTCAACAAAGCCTCGATCAGCCATCACTAACAGTAAGGCTGCCCTTTAGTGGTGGCACACAGCATTTCACCAATCTTAACAAGTGTGACCCATTACTGCCTGCTAGTCAAATGAATGACAATTTAATGGTACAAATAGCAATGTATGTACATGGTCACAATTTTTGTGTGCATGTGTAGGAAAAATTTGTACGTAAAAACGTTTTTTAATGTGTGAATAAAATCTGAAAATAAGGTATTGCCAGGTCCCAGGATCCTATGAGATACTGGGACAACCAAAAGGCAATCTATCCAAACCTCTTCCGACT